AACGTTGCACGCGAAATTACCATTTAGCAACGTAATCTTCCTCTCCCTCCCGACGATGATTATTCTCATTATCCCTCCACCACATGTCCAAATTGACCTTAAAACGGCCTAGACGTGTCTACGCAGAGGAGGAAAAGGCAATTGTCATATCGTAAATCACAAATAACGTCTTTTCGCAGTATCGCGCCGCTCAAAAGTACGACATACCTCCGCAGTCCATTTCCGACTGACAAAAAGACCACGCAGCCCTGGTTGATCAGATCCAGGCTCATAAACTGTCACACAGAGTATATCAGCCTCCAACAGTCTGATTCCCCTATTCACACAGTTAGCCTATATTTTAGGTCGTGGCAGTTTGAAATGCCATATTAGTGATGGATCAGGGTGGTTTTCCATAACGTAAGGGATTTCCCGGTGATCTGCCGGATCGGATGATTCGCCGGATTTTGCTTCCCTTGCATTCCGGTGAAGATTTGAGTGAAACTCCACGAAAATGATATGAAACAATCTCAAATTAAAGCAGAAGCAAGAAAGATGCCTAGCAATGCCATTCAATCTACTTCGCAGTCATCAAGCCACCGTGGTCGTCTCCTGTAGCGTCCCGATCGCGCAAGTCCCCGAATTGCGACTACCATCTCCCGATCGCTCTCGACAGCCAATAATGGCTTTTTGGGACGTGAGGAAATGGCCAAGACCGGCTTTGGATCTTTACGTAACTTAATGCTTAGCGACTTTGAGTATTCCGGAGCTGTCGTCGGTTCTGGTGGAGCCGGAATGGCGACGACAATCTCGTCTCGAACACCCGGACTCTTCTCGCGAGTTTGTGGAGCCACAAAGGGTCCGGATCCCATTTCTGACACTGCTTCCCGGTTTTTACGCTTGAGCTCTTTTCGTATTTGCCTGTTTTTCTCCCGCTCTTGTTGTCTGGCTTCCTTTACCTGACGTCTTTGCTCAGTTTCTGCCTCTCGCTGCCTTCTCTTCTCCAGAGCAAGGGCTTTGAGGTTTGCCGCCTTTTGCTGTCGCTCAAACTTTTGTCGTTCTTTCTCCAAGGCCTCTTCTTGCTTCTGAGTCTCCATGGCTGCTTTCTTCAAGCGCGCTTGGGCCACTTTTGCAGGGCTAAATACCTGCGCCGAGTTAGGATCTACACGATCGAAAAGGTAATCCTTCAGAGCTTTACCGCGCATTCTGCGCTGCTTTTCGTGAAAGATAGTCTCGCGAAGTCCCTGATTCTCATATCGAAGCAATTCGTTCTGAGATTGGAGACTTTCGAGAGTACTTTTGAGCTTCCGACTGTCTCGGCTAGCATTTTTCGAGGATCCATCGACTACCTTGTCGACAAGTCGGCGCAAATCCCGAGCAGTAGGCTGCTGAAGGGCGAGCGAGTCAACGGAGCCGTCGCCAGACTCAGACTCATCTTCTATTTTCTCCGTGATCTGCGACAACACGACTTCAGGGTCAAATGGGAGGAGTCCGGTCCGTTTCCACCCACTTGCGATGTTCTCCGCCGAGAATGATGACCCGAATGCGTTCCAAAATAAGGACCAGAACTCGCGTTTCGATAGCCTAATGAGTCCCTGCGTCTTTGCAGTCCACTGGATGAGCTGGTTGGTGTATGCGGTCGAAAGAGGGCCAAAAAGGGACACATCAAGGGGCTGCAGCCTGTGCGTGGAATGCGGCGGAAACACGGCAACGATTATCCGATGCTGGTCACACCACTCCAGGAAGTCCATATTGACATGACTAGAGTGTCCGTCGGTGATCAGGAGGCGGTAATCTCGGCCGTTTCGCGCCTTTTCTTTCGTGAACCGGTCGAAAACACCAATGAGCCATTCCTTTCCAAGTTCATGGTTCGTCCAACCCGTTTCTGAGGTTGTGAAAAAACGCCGCTTGGTGCTCCGGATCAAACTCCGTGAGCCAGGAGTCCTGAACTTGCCCTGGCTTGCCTTGGTAGATGAGAAACGGGGGTAGCGCGGTCAGGTCTTGACAGACACATGCCAGGAACGTGATCCATGATCTGTTGCCATCCTGGGCAGCACCGATCAATTTTCCTTGCTTCTTAGCATGAACAGAGAATACTCTCTTGGTACGATTGATGACGCCGAGGAGAAAACTCTTTTCGTCCACATTATACGTGTTGCAAGGCAGGATGTTGTATTTCTCGATTTTCTCGCCAATCTTGTACGATCAGCAATGAAGGGGTGGACTTAGGCACCTACTTACGAGCTCATAGTAGGCTCTGTACCTAGAAGCATTGTCTGCTCTCTTTCTTGCGATATCGAAACCGTCGAACCAAGTGCAACCGAGCTCATCGCTGTTGCGTCGGACGAAGCTATACGGCCAGTCCTTTCCGACCTCAATTTTGGCGATATCCTGGGCGAAACTTTTGATCATCGGCAGCGTAGGTGGAATCCCACGTGATGAAAGCTTGCGAATATACGCAACAAGGTCCCTTTCCTGCTGTTTCGAGAGACGTGACTTATACAAACTGTCGGCATCCTCTCTTGACCTCTGTTTGCCTTGGTGTCGCCGTCGCAGGGTAGTCTCGTCGCAATTGAACTGACGCGCAGTCTTGGCATAGTTAACAGTGCCACACGACTTCAGAAAGTCAAGCGCTTCATCAATTGGGGCCATGGTGGTGGAGTAATTCAGGATTGAAGTGGAGACGCGAACTGGCGGTGAATCCGGCGAATCGTCCGATCCGGCAGATCACCGGGAAATCCCTTACCCCACTGCGTCATGCAACGCACTAGGTCATGCAACAATGTTCAACACCTGACGCGTCTTCTTCAAATTGACGCGATATGGACCACAACACTCGTATTGCAGAGGCAATTATAGAACTGCAATCCCAAGATCGCCCTAAATATGCAGAGACCGCGAGGAAATACAATATCGACAAATCCACGCTGTGGCGCCGCTTCAAAGGCAAAACAGCCTCAAATCACGACGCGAACTCTTACTCGCTGTCACGACCCTGGGCGCCGGCGTAGAGCCGCCAGCGCAGAACCTCACCAGTGTCACGTGCCCAAGCAGCATCACGTGCCCACGCGCGACCTCGTGTCTATATAAGGGCCCGCTCGGTCGTGTAGTCTAGTCTTCCTTTCTTGCTCCTTAGCTTTGAGTCTTTGTTCATAGTGCCAATACATCTTTATAGCCGTCAAGGCTCGTATGTGCCTGGCCGTAACACTACTCAAAGCTCAATAAGATCGCTTGCCAGCGATTAAGCAAATAGGCACCGAGCTTTCACGTCACACGCGCCTGACGTAAATCCAGCGCATCCGTTCTGACCGTTCCGACCAAGACTCCGACCACCGACCAAGTGATCCTCAAGGCTGAGATCACGTCCGTTCCGACCAAGACTACGCGTGTGTGTAGCCGTCCGACCAACCGTTCCGACCAAGGGATTCGTCCCGTCTGACCTCCGACCGTCCCTGCTCGTGCAGGCATCTGACCGTGATTCCGCGTGGTATCATTTCCGACACCTATCACCTCGCGACTATGATATCCGAGGAAGCCCTGCCCTCTGATCAGCCTCGCCGTTCCACCCGGCTTGCTGGCCAAGCCACTGAATCCGAAATAGTAGCCATGGCTGCCCCGAGCCCCAAGACGCTCTCATCCGCGAGATGAGCGAACAGATTGCGGCCTTAACGGCCCGTCTAAATGAACGCTCTCTGTCTGTTGAATCAAATCGACAGCACCGGGAGCCCTCGAGTCCTTTGCCGGCCCAAATGGCCCGGCCTTCCGACCAACAGGCAAAGCTGCCTGGCCTGTTTTGCCCCTTCCCAGAGGCAAGAACCCCGAGTACAGCGACGCCGCCAAATCGCGCATCAAGGCCTCCGCGACGTTCTCAGGAAAGAAGGACGAGTTCCATTCCTTCATCCTGAGCATAAAGAACAAATTTGACGAAGACGTACGAACCTTCCGGACTGAGAACAGCCGGATGGTCTGTCTGTATAACCTGCTCGAGGAAAAGCCCGCCGAGCACTTGAAACCCGCTTCTCCTCTGACACTCGACCCTTCTCTGGAGTGGCAGAGATGATCCAAGCCCTCGAGTCCGCCTATGGCAATCCGAATGAGCTTTCCGAGGCTCTTGACCGCCTGCAACGCCTCCAGTTTACCGTGAATGGGAAGACCGACATTGTGGACTTCCTTGCGGAATTTGACTACTTAACTGCGACCGGTCGTGTGCCCGAGGACCAGATGAAGCATACCTTGGCAGCACATCCCGGCCAACCTAGATAACAGCCTCTTGACCAAGACCCGTGACGAGTCCGTGACCTACGAGGTTTTCTGTGGGTTCATTAAGGACGCTGTCCACTGCCAGAAGAGGAGTATGAGGCAGACACAGGACTCCCGCTCTTCCGACCGATCTCGCCGCGCGCCGACTAAGACTGCTCCGACTACCGCCAAGACTCCGAACAAGACCGGCTCGACCCTATAACCTCGCGTGATGCTGGCAGAGCCTTGACCGACGATGAGAAAAGGGTCCATTGGGATAATGGCACCTGCTTTATTTGTGGAAAAACAGGGCACCTCTCTCGCGACTGTCCCGACCGCACCCATGCTGTCTCCCGTGTCGCCTCCGTCCCTGTCCCTGCCAACGACTCTGATCAAGATTCGGGAAACGAATAGGACCATCACAAGACTCCTTGATGGTCCCTAAGGTGTCTGAGATAGCGAGTAGGTCTAGCAAGTCATTCACTCTGCCAAGTCAAGTCCAAGTGGATGGTGTGAGCTTACCTGCCCGCTCCCTCTGTGATACCGGAGCCGAAACCCGTTTGCTGGTTAGCCCAACCTTCGCCCAGTCCGCCGCCCAAAGACTCGGAGCCCAGATTAAGGAGCTCCCGAGTCGGATTCCCCTCCAAGACTTCCGTGGAAAGCCAGCCGGCTATATCCAGAAACAGCTGGTCGCCACTTTCGTCATCGATGGCCGTTCGTTCGCAAACGAGACATTTGATATAGCTGAGTGTGGCCATGATATCTTTATCGGTCTTTTCTGGATGCGGGAGAAGCGCCTCCTGCTTGACTGCGCCGCCCGACAGATCATCTGGCCAGATGATCTTCCTGCCCTCGCCAAGTTCTCCCCGACGATCCAGCTCTCTCGTCAAGCCCCGCTCTCGGGTCGGATCGACCCTAAGATCCAGGCCGACGCTGAGAGGCGGAACCGCCTGCTCGAGAAAGAGGAGAAACGCTACCGGATCCTCCACAAGAACTGGCGCCGCTCTGATCAAGCTCCTCCGGCCTCTGTCCCGACCCGTTACCGACTCCGTCTCCGTCGTTTCAGTCCAAGTCTCCGTCTGCCAAGAAGTCTGTCCGTTTTCAGCTCACGACCGCCCCTGCTACCGACTTCGTCTCCGTCGCCTCGGTCCAAGCCTCCGAAGATCAAGCCCTGATTAACGCCCTGGTCTGCCAAGTAGAGTCTCACGAGAGATTCGAACAGTGGAACGAACTCGAACCGTTGATGCCCGGGATCCAGTCCAGCTCGAGCCAAGCTCCGGCCTTGACCAGACCGTCCCTAGTGCTCGAACCGTTGCTAAAGTCTCCCGGATCAGAAGACCTACCAGGGACAAAGCATTCCGTTCCCTCAGGAGAAGACCCTGAGCATGTTGCTTGTGTCCGTAGTCGTCTACCGCCCCAGCTCACCCATCTAGAGGGATTCTTCTCGAAGAAAGAGGCCCACACCCTACCTTCGAGCCGACCCGGTCACGATGTAGTCCTAGAGCTTGAGAAGCCTCTTTCGCCGACAGGACCCCCATCGTACCGCACGCCCGTTAAGTATCTGCCTCTAGAGAAAGAGACTGTCGATCACCTCCGGGAGATAGACTTCATCGAGCCCGATCCGAGTCCGCACGCCGCTTCTGTCCTCTTCGCTCCGAAACCGAACACGACCGCCCGCCGCTTCTGCATCGACTACCGTTGGATGAACGATCATCTTAAAAGTCGCATCACGCCCGCTCCGTCCCTCGAAGGTACTGCTTTCGGTTGCCGTGAAGCTCAACGCTTCACGAAGATCGATGTGATCCAGGCCTTCCACCGTCTCCGCATGGACCCTGACTCCGAGTATTTGACCGCCTTTCGCACCCGTTTCGGAACTTTCCGCTGGAAAGTCCTCCCGTTCGGTCTGAAGGTAGGTCCCGCCTGGTTCCAGCAGTTTATCAACGCGCAGCTTCACGATCTCCTCGACCGGTGCGCCAGCGCCTACGCAGATGACGTCCTGATCTACTCGGATAAAGAAGAAGACCACTGGAAAGACTGTCAAGAAGTGATCTGGCGACTCCATCAGGCCAACCTCCAGGGAGACATCAAGAAGTCTAGATTTAACGTGACCAAGGTTGACTACCTCGGCGTTCTGCTTGAAGCCGGTGTGGGCCTTAGTGTCGACCCTCGGAAAGTTCGATCGATACAAGACTGGAAGTTTGAAGACCTCCGAGACCGCACCGCGATCCGATCATTCGTTGGCCTATGCAACTTCATCCGTGTTTTCTGCTACCACGCCTCCGGAGTGGCAGAACCCTTGAACCGGTCAGGGTGGCGATCAATTCAATTCCATCAATTTGGCCTCACCATTGAGTTGCGTTGACAGCTTACTCATCATTGGTCCCGTTGAGTTGAACCACCTGCCTTCAGATGGGGGCGATTGAGTTGAATTGAAGACGTTGAACCACGTACGGCCCACGGGTCTCCGAGGGCCCTAGCCGGCAGCATGTCCAGTATCATCCCCTGGACTCCATATAATGCTATTCGCATTCTCCCTGACACGTCAATCAACGTATCCACGGCGTCGATTAGGCCATTCCGTACCCACGACCGTAACGTTTGCGTAATCCCTATCGTGCTGGCTTCCAATCGAGTCCGTAGCGGTGACACCATTTGCCCAGTGGTACTAAAGAGACGCTCGCACTCTGCGGACATGGGAGGGATCGAGAGCAAGTCGAGAGCCATCCGTGACAGCCGTGGGTAGTCTTTCCGTCTCTGCCACCAATACTGAAATGGGTTGGTGACGAGAGGATCATTCTCAGCGTCAGCACTCGACAGCCAGCGGTCATATTCATCATGGTCCGGATTCAGTGAACTTTCCAAAGAGGAAGATTCGTTTGGCAGCGACGAAGTCCTCTGGGCTCGGTGTCTCTCAAGCGCGCTCATTGCCTTCAGTCGCTTGTACGGACGCTCTTCGTCAGGCATCGAAGGGATCGGCAGCGATTTGTACTCCTCCTCCACAGCTTTCTCACCATTCTTTTGCCTCCTGAAGCCAGGGAGCTGTGCTTTGTCGGTCCATGTATTCTCGAAATACCCCAACGCGAAACCGGATTTAAAATAGCAGAAGCATAGTATGCTGGCGTTTCGTCAAGCTTCGTATAGTAGTCGTTCAACTTATCCCAGCCCAGATTAATGTTAGCCTTGAGGTGCTCTGGATCGGGGAACTTCTCCGCTACTGCTTTCCACTCCTCTAGTCTGTCCATCAGGAATTCGTAGGTTGAGGCAACATCCCACATGTTTCCGTATGCTTCAATGCGGCCTCCTTTTCGAACTCGACTCTGAGCGTCGCCTTCTAGCATTCGGAGTGCTTCTTCGAAGTCAACAAGCACCCTATCCATCAACTCAATGACCTTCCAGTCATTATCACTGAGAAGACTCTCCTCGCGGAGACACAAAGGCATCTCTTTTGCCCTTCTCATCCCATTGCGGCATTTTTTCCTGAACTCAAGCGTGACCTTCTCAATAAGGTCTTCTAAGAAAGGCCGCAATCCGAGGCCGCGCCGTATCATATAAAGAGTCGAAAGCCAGCGAGTAAGGTTATCAAGGACAACGTCCACAGGTTTCTTCGCTCGAATCTTGGGGTTGTCCGACTTTGAAAAGAACTCCTCCTGAAGTGCACGAAGCCGGTACGTCAGCTTATCGGACTGATGGATCCAATGTACTAGGTTATGAAGCTTTCCGACTGGGCCTTTCTTTCGCCAGATTTCATGCTGGACCGCGTCAAGAACAGGCTCCCCGTTAATCTTCGCCTCAAACGCGTCGGACTTGTGTCCAAATAATAGGGCCTTGACCACCAAGTTGAGCACGTGGCCAAAGCATCGCACCCTCCGCTTCTTCGGATCGAAGCCCAGTGCCTCTGCAATCTCCTCTGTCGCCGTATCCATATTCCCAGCGTTGTCCAGTGTAATATAGCCCACCTTGTCGAGGATCTCATAGCTCTCTAGGATCTCGAGGATCTGGGCTGCGATATTCTCTCCCGAGTGCGAGATCTTCAGCTCCGGCATGCCTAGGACAAGCTTTGATGGAACTCCATCCTTGTCGATGTAAAAACAGATAAGCCCGTGTAAAGCGTGCCGATTCCTGGAACGCCAGCCGTCGAACGCAATATGAATTTGGCCCGGGTGCTCTTTAGATTGTCGATTACGCACGTCTTGTATCGGATATAAAGGTCAACAATTCGCTTTCGAACGGTATCGTGCGAGATGTGGGCATTCGTCACTGCGACCGATGGATTCAGGTATTCGAAAATATGTCGGAGACGACAGTGCTCGGGCTGGCGAAAGGAGACGTTGGCGTCGACCACCCACTCGAGAAGAAGTCTCTGAAAATGGTCCTTATCGAAGCGCTGGATGAGGGCGTTCGCGATACCTTGCTCTTTAGGATCTGAAGCGTTGAGATTCAACATCTCCACGATATTCTTGGACGGGTTCTTGTCCATGGTTCCTTTCCCAAGAGCGGGCGGCCCCCTCTTCCCGGACAGATCGATAAGTCTGTGCTCTTTGAACAGATGATTCTCGATATTCTGAGTGCCAACGGCAGAGAAGTCTGATGTTTTTTGCTTCGGCTTCTTCAGGCAGGGCTTGCAAATCCATTTTCTCTTCGTGGGATAGTCGCTAGGTTGAATGTCGAAACCATGCTGCCAGACCCACGAAGTCTGCCTGCCAGCGCGCTCGGAAATCGTATAACCTGGGAAATGGTTCCATGGGAAGATGCTCCATTCGTCTTGCAAAGCATCCATGTTAACAAACGGCTTGCTGGACGAGCCTCTGTCTGAGGCATGCTGGGGCTTAATAGGAACGTCGTTATCCATTTGGCTGCAGGAAGAAAGAAGGTGCATTGTTTGGTGAAGGTTTCAGTGCGACGCGACACTCGGAAATTCGGCTCAAACGTGTCTAATCGCCCAGGTATTTGCACATCCTTTACATATGAAATTAATATGGGACCGAAGTACTACGACCTTGAGTAAGGTAAGGCTAGTGACCACGCGCGTCAGACGCGACTAGATCAGGTGTAGGTGCTACCCTAGATCACCTCTAGCTTCAACGGCTTCAACGCGTGGTCAACGTTCAAGGCGTCGGCGTGGATTGAAGCTCTCAATGTGCAAGTGAGATTGAATTGATTGAATTGAAACACGTGACTTCCACTTCAATATTATTGAAGAGGTGGAGGTGGAGGTGGAATTGATCGCCACCCTGGAACCGGTTGCTTAAGAAGGATGTTGCCTTTGTGATGGGCCCGGAGCAACGCGAAGCATTTGATCAACTCAAGCGCCTGGCTATCGAAGCCCCGGTCCTCGCCTTCTTTAGACCAGAACTGCCGACCCGACTGGAGACCGATGCCTCCCGGAATGCCACAGCTGGTGTTCTATGGCAGGAACAGCCTGATCAGACCTGGAAGCCCGTTGGATTCTTCTCTAAGACCATGACCCCGGCCGAGCGAGCCTACCCAATCCAAGATCGAGAGCTCCTCGCCGTCGTACAGAGTCTAGAGCACTTCTACCCAGAGCTCTTAGGCCAGAAGTTCGATGTGATCACCGATCACGAAGCCTTAGTCCATTTCTCTACGAAGCGCCTGCTCTCGGTACGACAGATCAGATGGTCCGACTTTCTCGCCCAGTTCGACATCCGTTTCCTCTACCGCCCCGGTCGACTGAACGTAGTCGCCGATGCCCTCTCCAGGAAGACAGCGGAGCTCCCTACCGTAAAGGCCCGGGAAGCCGAGGAACGCACGGTGACCCTGATCCCTCCGGAAAGGCTAGGCTTCGCGACCGACTCTCTAGACCCTACGGCCGCCGGCAACCTGCCCCTCAGAACTTTAGTCCCGAACCTAAGCCTACTAGACCATTAGTTCTGAGGGCCACGAGTGCCCTACAGACCCCAGAAGACCGAGGATACAGCAGACGCCCGATCAAGACCGCCCAGAACTAGACCCGAACTCGGTCCCGAAGGGAGCCGAACTCGTTTCGTTGATCCGCCAAGAGAACCTCCTCCAAGACCTCGGTACCCATGGAACACACCTGGTCGTACCAGCCCAGACCTCAGACAAGCAGACGTTTCTTCAGACCGCGCTCATTCGCGAAGCCCACGAACCCCAGATCTTCGCTCACGCCGGACAGAACAAGGTGATCAAGCTGCTCCAACGAGACTTCTACTGGCCAAGGATGAAGGAGGATATCCGTCGTTATATTCGGAACTGCCACGACTGCCGCCGCAACAAAACCCCTCGAGACAAGACCCCTGGACTGCTCCATCCACTGCCCGTACCGACCTCTGTTTGGGAGCACGTCGAATGTGACGGGAAGGATATGCCGAAAGACCGTTACGGATATGACTATGTTTGGACCTTCGTCTGCAAGCTAAGCCGGATTATCGCCACGCTCCCAGGAAAGAAAAACGATACGGCAGAAGTCTTAGCTAGCCGCTACTTCCGCTACCTCTATCGTTTCTTCGGTATGCCCCTCGTATGGATTTCTGACAACGCTGGACAGTTTATTTCTGCCTTCCTCGCAGAGATTAACCGGCTCACGGGAACGAAGCATCGTCATGGAAGCTCCTACACCCTCAGACCCAAGGGGTGTAGAAGTTACAAATCAATACCTAGATCAAAAGCTACGATTCTACGTGACGAAGCATCAAGATAACTGGAGTTCCCTGCTGCCCGCCCTCGACTTCGCCCATAACTCGTCTTGGCACTCTTCCATCGACATGGCACCGTTAAAAGTAGCCCTAGGCCGAGATATCCGGAACCCCCTGTCACTGCCCCCGACTGACAAGACCGCTGCCACCGGACCCGCCGCCAGAGCTAGGGAACTTGTGCAGACCGCCCAGGAAACCCAGGAAGACGCCAGGAATGCTGCCACCGCCGCTCAAGAACGTCAGAAGGAACAGGCTAATAGGAAACGACGACCAACCGACTTTGCCATCGGTGACCGAGTTTTTCTCAGCAGGAAAGGCTTCGCCACGAACGCTCCGACTACTCGGCTAGATAACCAATGGTCAGGTCCGTTCGTAATCCTGGAAGAACGCGGTCATAGCTACGTACTGCAGCTGCCCGAGTCGTACAAAATGAAGAACCTATTCCACGCCGACCGTCTTCGAAAAGCAGCCGATAACCCTTGCCCCAGCAGATCCAGTCACCTCCGCCACCCGAGGAGATCAACGGAGAACCCGAGTGGGAGGTTGATCAAGTCCAGCAGTCTCGAGTAACCGGTAGGAGTCGACGACTGGAATACCAGGTCTTATGGAAGGGATGTGACCCTGATGAGACCTGGTACCCGGCTAGGAATTTCCGTAACGCACCAATGGCATTGAAGATTTTCCACGATGAACATCCGGACGCAGCAGGCCCACCCGTCAACCTGCAATACTGGATCGAATGTGCTGCAGCGGAGGAGGGCTGCGAGGAACGAGACGATGACGACACAGCAGAGAAAGCCGTGAAACCAAGAACCCGCCGCCACGACTGACTACCTTGATACGCATATCAAGGCCTTAGACGGGGGGGTAGTGTCACGACCCTGGGCGCCGGCGTAGAGAGCCAGCGCAGAACCTCACCAGTGTCACGTGCCCAAGCAGCATCACGTGCCCACGCGCGACCTCGTGTCTATATAAGGGCCCGCTCGGTCGTGTAGTCTAGTCTTCCTTTCTTGCTCCTTAGCTTTGAGTCTTTGTTCATAGTGCCAATACATCTTTATAGCCGTCAAGGCTCGTATGTGCCTGGCCGTAACACTCGCGACAGAAACTCACCAGCGCGCAGGAGGAGATTCTTATTGGGCACGTCAATAAGCTGACCGACCGTGGTATGCCGCCTACCCCTCAGATGTTGAAGAATATCGCCGAGGAAATCGCAGGGACAGAGCTTGGTGTCAACTGGGTGAGCCGCTTCCGCAAGCGACACCATGACCGTCTTTCGAGCTTGTATTTGCGCACCATAGATCATCAGCGGAAGGCTGCTGATAATTCCAGGCATTTCCAAAACTTCTTCAATTTAGTAAGACTGCTTTTTATCGTCATTTCAAGGGGTATACTGCCGACAATACTCGGTCAAATGCCGTAAAGTCGCCATTTCTGACCGAATCCAACTAGCTCCGCGAAAAGATCGAAAAGTACAACATCAGTCCCTCAAATGTTTATAATTTTGACGAGAAGGGATTCCAAATTGGTCTCTCTCGCTCTGCCAAGCGAGTTGTCCCCCGAGAAGCCCTCAGGCGCTGGAAAACTGGTCGGGCAAGCCAAGACGGGAACCGGGAGTTCATCACGCTGATCGCTGCCATATGTGCAGATTATTCGTTCCTGCCACCGGCCCTCATTTACAAAGGGGAGTCAAAAGACTTCCAAGATACTTGGCTTGAAGATTTTGACCATTCCAGCGAAGTAGCCTTCTTCGCCAGTACGGAAAACCAGGGTGGTTTTCCATATATGGAAAGGTGTGCAATCCATACTGGAGTATCGCCCCACATTTATTGCAAGTATTGCAATACACCTTTCCATTCTTGGTCCGTGCGCATCCCGCAACAGCTCACCTATATGGTCTCGGCAAAACGTGCCAAACACGACATGAATCAATGAAAAATCAAGGAACAGTTAACGTGAACGTAATGACAGACGACCGGTCAAGGGGATGCCAAGCAGAAATTTGCTCCTTTGCAGGAAACAGGCGTAGAAGTTGAGCCAGGATTTTACCCAAAATCTGGGGACCCGCCACCACCCTCGGCCCCTTGCAAGATATCGTTCTTGAGCCAATGCTTTAAACATTCTCCTTTTCGACTTGTTTCGCGTCCAATTGGGCTCTTTCCCATGAGATTGTGCGACGCGCCCTGAGAACACCCGCTCAGGTTCATCACTCATCGCCGGCATTGATAGGATGTCTATGGCCATTTGTGATAGCTTGGGCCATCGTTTTCTCTGTTGCTCTTGAAGCCACCATGACAAGGCCGTCGTCGGCGTAATGTCGTACGGATCACATGAAATGTAATCTTCGTACTCGTCCTGGCTTGACGGTCGAGTGCAATTCTGCAGGTTCCTTGAAATGCGATCAAACGCGTCAAGGTCCTCGTCATCATCGTCATCTAGTAAATGTTGCGAGAGGAAGTCATCCACAGTGTCTCGGTATGTGAGCCACAGGTCTTTGACCTGTTTGAAAGCAGTTTTTGCCACTTCTTCTTCCAATTTGCCTGGATGTATGTTGTGCGATAGCTGGGATGAAGGATCAAGGCAGCTGCATAATAGGGCGATGCTTCTGTCTTGCTATAATATTTGTCAAAGACTTCCCACCCTCGTTTGATCCTAAAGGACAGCTCGGTGTCTGATTTGTACGTGACCTATTGCACCATCTCAGCGCTTGCACAAGGAGATCAGAGGAATGGAAGGCATGGTACCAGGGCTTCATCAAAGCATCGGATCAAGACGTCCATCGTGAAGAGCACTTTGTCCAGGGTCGCATGATCCCCTTGTGTTGCTAATGTCGCTCGGGCGAACGGTTGAAGGATCTTCTCAATTATTCGGAGCCGGGCCCAATCTTCCGGCAATAGAAAATCCGCAGAAAGATCTTCGAAATGATTCTTGGTGTAGGTGTCCAGAGCGCTGGCAGTTTCCTGCTGAGTGGCAACATGCAGCATCTGATACCAGCTATTCCACCTCGTACGATTGTCAAGTGGAATGCCCCTCTCAGCGAGTTCCATAAACTCTCCACTGCGTCCTGATGAACTCCGGATGTTGACAACCAGGTTGTGGAGCTTACCAAGTGGTCCAAGGCGGCGAAATTCGGTGCGCTGCCTTTGAACTTTGCCAGGTCATCTGCGTCTTCGCATATTTCGCCCTCTTTCAAGTCAATAGAATTCTGGAACAGGAAAGCTTGAACTGCCAAGTTGATAACGTGGCCTAGGCATCGGAGGCGGTGAACTTCAGGATCCCATTTGACGCCCTCTTCCTTGAGATACGTGCTCACTGCCCGGCAGAGGTGTCATTCGTGCTCGAATTATCCCCAACGATGCTTCCAAGGCGTCGCAGAATACCAAAGTCCCGCAAGATGGGAAGAAGTGTAACGAATTGCTCCTCCCGGAATGGTTCGCCACAGGCCGAAGTGCAAGGAGAGCTTTCCGTCGTGCTTCTTGTGCGTGGTCAACAAAGTGGGAGCAAACTCCGAGAAGAAGGAGCCGATTGGGGGACGTCCAAATGTCAAGCGAGAGGTGAACCTTGGATTTTGCTGACTGGAGCTTCATTCGCACGATATCCTTGGCCGACTGGAAATGATTGTCGATAATTCGTGGAATAGTCGAGTGGGCGGAAGGAGATGGTCCTTCGCGACCGGGTTCAAGGTCGAAATGAAGAGGTGAAATTCGCGGGATTCGACAATTCGATAAGGAAGGTTTCGTGCGACGATCAGCCAAGCTAAGGCTTTGTTTATCTTGTCTTGGTCCAGGTAGCGTTTGAAGACCTCCGACTCAATCTCCGTTGTGGCCCAATTCCCGTGCTTGCTGGTAGAGTTGCTCAAACCCTCAAAGATGGATGATTGAAGAGGAGTCAAATCTTCCACGACTCGAATATCGTGCTTACCCTCCAGATGTTTTCGAAAGTTAGTGGTAACTGAAGTGCTGTACGGGTTCGTCTGGGGACAATGGCTGCAATAGAGAAGACGATTTCGGCCCTTAAACTCTTCCTCCCCCTCTGCTGCAACGCGAGCATGCTTCCACGTTGCGATAGCCGCTTTGCCTCTTGTATTGCGAGATCTTGATGTCGTAGAGTCCGACAATATAGATTCAGCATCGAAGAAGGATAGCACACTTGCAGAATCCATAGTTCGACAACTGATTCGTCCGACGCGTTGGTGCAAAGTGGTGGGAAAGCGATTTGTGTTTGTGTGGGAATTAGCGGGGTTCAAGGCCCTCAGACCCTGGACGATGGCGCTGTAGGGGTCCCGGTCAGTGGCGCAATTTGGCCAATTATTGACTGAGCATTGAAATACTATGGATCCATATCCATACCCTGTCCATGCCATAGTATGGAAAGGGTATTTCCATACTTGGGTATGGAAAACCACCCTGCGGAAAACGGCTGGAGTTGTGACGCACTGGGTTTACACTGGCTTCAGCGCTTATTTGAATGCCATACGAAGCAAAAGGCTGGTCGTGCCTACCGTCTCTTAATTTTAGACGGTCATAATAGTCACATTAACCTGAAATTCATTGACTATGCCGATCGGAATCGAATTCTCATTGCTGTGTTGCCATCGCACTCAACTCATCGGCTTCAACCACTCGATGTTGGCCTGTTTTCCGCACTCTCCACCTATTATGCTCAAGGTTCCGACCAGCTGATGTCCATTGGATGGGGGTTAATTCGCCTTAACAAACGGAACTTTTGGCCACTCTTTCGTGATGCGTGGAACCAGGCATTTACGGCCAAAAATATCGAGGCTGGTTGGCGGGCCACAGGAATCCATCCACTCGACCCCGGCAAAGTATTGTCCAAGATTAGCCACAGCAGTGATGTGACACCCCCACAAACTGCATCTGAGGAAAGGGCGATGAAGACTCCAGGCTCTCTTCGGGCTATTCGGCGCATTACCCGCCGTCTCCGCAAGGAAGGGCTGATGGACTCCCGAGTCACAGCGCTCTCCCGAGCATCAGAGAAACTGGCGACACAATATGAGCTCGTACAACACGAAAATCGAGATCTACAGGAAGCGCTCAAACTTGCACATAAAAAAGTGAAACGCAGAAAGGCCTTGGGCCTTTTCAATCCAGAAGAAAGTGGTGGCCAGCCGGTCTTTTTCAGTCCAGCCAAGGTGGAACTGGCGCGGCGACGTCAGACGGACAAGGCACAGGCCGACGAGCAGCGCAAGCAAGCCATTGAAGATCGTCGACTCCAGGTAGCCATATCACGTGAAGAAAAGGCTCGAGAATCTGCCGAGAAGAAAAACAGCGGGCTGCAATGCGTCAGGCCTTGCGAGAGCAGCGTTCTCGAGAGAAGACAGAGCGTGCTGCGGAGCGCGAGGCAAAGCGAGCTGAGAAACGGGAGGCCGCAGCAAAATTAAAAGCAGAGAGGTCTGCACGCGAGGCTGAACGCCAGGCTATTCGGGAAGTCAAGTTTGAGGTAGCTGCTACGTCAAAGCCTGGTGTAAGAGGGCACAAAAGACATGGTAGCGGTGAGAAAACGAGGGCGTTGGAAGCGGGTTTGCGCGACGGGCATTCAACCACGCAACAACT